TGATACACGAAACGCAAGCCATATCGGACACTCTGCTGTCAATAAATAAGCTGTGATTTCTCTACTGCAGTTTTCTTCTATCTTCACCGGATTTCTGAATCCGGATGCAGAAGCTCCGACTTGGTTGCGACACAGCACTGCCATAGGTTACTCGACTTAGATTTGCCAAAACTATTGGTATTAACACAATTTCTTTTATTCATATTAGCCCCTTACAGTGAACCTCCCCTTGACTACCACAGACCAAATTACTGCCTCATGCAAAATTATGCAGTTTCCGACGACAAGAGTTTCACCTCATTTTTGATATTCCCACAACATCAACATTCGCGGGCATACAAATAAATTCCACTGCAGACAGTGCGGTAGCTGCCCAATACTCAACTTCGCTGTTATGCCGACCCCCAAGATCGGCTTATCGCGTGTAGGTCAAGTTCATTCACTTATCTTCCCTCCTTAAAATGCCTCCTGAGAAAAGGATATTAATCTCAATTCACTAGGCATTACTTATATGCAACAAGGTGCAAACATCAGACGGAGAATCAAAGACTGCTGTTGCTTTCGACATCGTGCAAAATTTGTGAGCACACACTGTCGAATTTAGATAAACTTGACTGGGAATAGTTACAACAACAGAGAGAATAAAGTAAATTAAACATTGGTGAAATTTTACTTGGACTTTTGCAACGCCAGACACTGGCCCCAATACGTTGTTTGTTCAAAGCTTGCATTAGTTCACTGATGACAAGGGGGAAGGCGGAGTGAATTGAGGAGATACTGGCGCATACTATTTACATATATGGACCTCGTAATCGAAACTAATTGTACCCTTTCCTCCTCTAATTTCGATAGCCTTGGCAACCTTAAATGTATCCCCCTAGGTGCTGCCTATACTCAGAATTTGCTTTTCAGGGTATTAGTTTTCGACTAGCGGGGTCTAAACTCATCGTAATGAGCACTTACTGATTGGATGAAGTTGTATTCAAAAAGTTCAACCATACCGTTGGTTTGTTGAGGTCGGGTAGCGATGCTGATCGTGCTCCGCCAAAGACTGTGCGGTAGAATTTGTGAGATTGGTTTCAGGCGGAAGAGGTAAATATTGGCTGATGAAGTAGGGATACAGATAGTTGATTGAGTTCCAGTACATTCATTGACGATGAACACGTAAGTAATGAAGAAATTCTTGTGATCACGTCAGCCAAATTGTCGACAAAATCACTCGGCGCAAAAAGGGGCACGCCTCAGTGTCTGAGGCGTAAAGGCCACAGTCAGGGGCAGCGCCTATAGAAACTGGGAGCGAGAGTTGGTGGCACGTAGAAAAAGAATGCCCGGGCTTGTGCTCTGAGTGGATTGAAGTGTGTCTGACACTGAATAGTCGGTGGTTGATTGTGAGAAAATCGTCTGAACCGTCGGTAAACTATGGGGCTTAGCATGGGATAGAATAGATCTTTGGAAGGCATGCAGCTGTTAGAGTAGCCAAGAACTCTGAGGTGGAGCGCGGGTGAAGAATGAAAGGACATGGCGCGGAAATGGGAGATAGATGTAGAGCGGTTTTCAGAGAGGGCTACCAGGGGGGGCGTTTGCAGGCAGACAGGGAGGAGGATGCAGATAATTGGTCAGGGTTACCTGCAAGTGGTTGCTGTTGCAGGTTTGCTCAAAGCAATTGACGCGTGGTTTTCTGTATTCGTGTGGCATTGAAAGGGACACCTGTGATTTTCTGGTAAAGGACGAAGATATACTTTCAGAAGTGTCGTCGAGGAGCCACAAAATTTCAGGGTTTCGAGGGTGTATTTTAGTGGGGGTGAAGAGCGAGGGGCAGTTTATGAGGGCATCCGTGGAGTGAAAGAACAACGGCGGCGCCGGGTGCAGCCCCTTCTCAGGGCGAGGAAAGTACCATTTCAAGCACACCTGCAAAAAAATATGCTACCGTCATGTGGACATCGATGTTTGTTCCGGATGCTGAAGAAAGTTTTCACTTGATGGAACATTAAGGATTCCGAATTTCGGGTAATTTCGAAGCGAGAAACTAGTATTGAGGTTATTTTTGGTTTGGTATTTGGAGTTGAATATTTTCTGGGTTGTTTAGCTGCACACTTCGCCATTGTAAAAGATGCTCGGAGCTATTGTTCAACATTGTCAAAACGAAGCGTCTGTGTTGAACACTGATGTCATGCCCGCGATGATGAGGGTGATGTGATGGCTCATTCATTAACTTTCGGTACTTACCAGAGCTTCAATTCGGTCGTACGCGTTTCCTGCCGGATCTTAACTAATTCCAGAATCATGCTTCTTAAGACTATCTCATCAGTTAGGAATTCGTTCGCAAATGTCGTAAAGTTTGTGCGCTCAAAGCAAGCAACTGGTAGGGTATTTGGACTTCATTTGGCACCTCAGTTGTCAGCTTCTATTTATCTGCTATCCGCTAGTTGTGCTCTTTCTTCTTCAAAGATGTGTTCATACATGCGATCGTGCCCCCAAATCGGTCATGCTATTTTTAGGACATCAGCCCCGATTACGGGAGCCCCAATAGGGTTGCATAGGTCTTGGCTCTATCTGACATACATCAGAAGGCAAAAATCAGCAGTGAACAGAGGTTATCCTTCAGCTGCTGAAAACCGTGATTACACCCTTATAACTAAACTACCAGTTTCCTGAGGCAGACCACGCGGTGATAGCGTTGTGTGCGCAAAATTATCTCTAAGCTTCCCTCAATAGCATGATGGTAATTTGAAGCTGCCGGTTGTCTGTGAGATTTGTGGTCTTCATTTGGCCGACATATGACTTTATCTAGATCAGAATGGGGGTGTTCATGTCTTTTGGCATTAGCGTTTGAGTGACTTGAAATTCGTCGTCTTGAAGACCACAGTAAGATTGCCGTTGGACAGCTACGACTCCATTCCTGTAACTTTCTCTCAAGCCCGTAAGGCATCCTGGTGATCGAGGAGGCTTACGTTGAAATTTTGGCGTGATCCTCCCAGTCCCAAAATACTCATGTCTGAAGGGCACCCAAGTTGCCACCTACGTAACTGTGGGTATTCTTGATGAAGCATGAAATAGTATATGGCTTTCTAATAACTCAGCTTCATATCCACTGAAAACTGAGATTTATTATGGAATTTGTGAAATTACTTCGTGCCATTCGTTTACATTTGAGCGATGGTCAGTGAGTATCCAGGAAATTTCAGGAAGACGCGATCGATAATAGGACGGGTATTCTGTTTTTATAAACAAGATGCACATGAGAGTTTTGCTTCCCTGTCAAATATTCTGTAACTCTTCACTTGGTGTCTTCATGTGAATAGCTCCACAGCGAGGGCCTTCTTCCTTCCACCCGTTACTCCGGCGATTAGATTTCGTTCATCGGCTAGCCTGATGATCCGACTATATTGAAGGCTTACCATCTGGATTCACCTGAAATCAGCTTTCCGAAATCATCGGGCTAGCTGACGGCCTGCATACTGCGCCTTCCAGTGCCAAACTTACGAGGCCCTGGGCAGCTTAGCACCCATAAGACCAGACGCATGGACGTTTTCTACAATAATTGGGAGCAATAACGGTGACCCACTGTTGACGAGCATTAGGGCGTTCACCGCAGGGAAGACGCGCATTCAAACCGATCAAAGTTTTGCAGTCGGCAGGCTTCTGGTTCAAGGCCAGTTGGATTCACTGGAGTCAGATGGATGCTAATGGCAGTTGGGCACAATGGGGCTCAGCAGGATCACACTTTTGAGAATCCTTTACGGTTGAACTATACCCATTGTATCGTGCATAAGGCGCAGTTCGAAGCGGAGGCGGATCAGTTCTTTTTTTTCTCATGAACGTTTGTCTTACAGTTTAGTCAATGAATTTGTACTACACGGGTGAAGCTTCGAGACATTCGGGAGATTCCGGTTAGGTTGGCATTTGGCTACCACTCGTATTAATTCCAACTTGCTGGCTAGAGCAGCAGAAATATTACTGACAATCCCCAAAGGGAGCTATGGTGTCTCCAGTAATTAGCGGACCATACTGATCGTGTCAAAGGTTCCCGTCTTTTTATGATCTGTTTCTACGTAGCTAGTCGAACGATCACCCCTTCAACGGATCCGATACGGGGAGTTTCTGGAAATACCTGTATTTTCCTCCCGGTACAAAAAACTTCCTTCAATCTCAAACTCTTCTGGTGGTGAGAATCACGCATAATACCTGCAGCTGGGTCTCAGTCATATGCGATGTGGAAACTCAAAGGAGTCCCGAGTATGCCTGATATTGGGTCTCTCGGTCTTCAGAAGGTTGTTTGACTTCAAAGCTTGAGGGTCCTGGTTTAGAGGAATTTTTGGCCCTGTTGTTGTCCTCAACGTGCGAAATGCGTCAGGCAAAGAACACTGCCTTACAATTTTGGAAGTGATAATAATAATGAAATTGACAATGCTAAGGGAAGGGTCAACTGATTGTTTGAAATACTTGTGCGCCCGCTATTCATGGCTGTTTGCCGCCTGTCCACTGGCTTCAGAAGTTTGATCATCAAAAGTGCAGGGTATATAGTGGAGTTTCGGCTGACGCAAACAATATCCGAAAGTCAATGCTCTGCTCCCGACCTGCCCTGGCTTAATTAGCCCGCAGTTGGATACCCCCAGAGTACAATGGTCACAGCGACTACCTTGATCACCTAAAGGCTTTCACTGTAGCCGAACTCATTTTTATTCATTCAAAGGTCCTTGTCTAATTCAGATTATGTCGTATAGACTAGGTAACTTACCCTACCAATGTACTTATGCACAGCATCAGAAGTGGTGGGGAACTGACATCGACCTTGCTCTTCGCTTTCCATCCGAAAGTGACATACAGATTCGATTACTACCCATAGGAGCCTTGAAGCTCTCCATATCGAGTATAAAACAACTTAATCTATCGGAACAGCACACCGATGAACTGACCATTGTTTAGTGCCACCACACATAGGAATTCAGGGTCGTTGAATCACCGAGGCCTCCACGCGCTGAAGTCGGAATGGTGTATGTCGGTGGTTTTTAATAATTGCATCTTCAAAATTTAGCGAGCATCCTTTGCAGTTGGTCCAGGTGCAGATCTTCTTCCGTCATGGTGCTCGAACGCCTTTACACCACGTTCGATCCCCCAATGTTGATGATGTAGATTCATGGTGTTTTATCCAGTACATACTCTTTGCAGGCTTTTTGGACCCCAGACTTAATAGATGACCTGCCACACACGTGTTTCCCCTTTACAATCATGGATATGTGCTCCGAAAAGGTGATCGATCTGTCCCAGGTTTCAAGTTTGCCCATCCCATTCAGATTACCGGTAGGTCTTATTGAATACATAATTACTAATTAAGTTTCATGCTTCATTTAGGGTGGTCTGTATACGGGTGAGCTTATCAAGCGTGGTCAAGAGGAAGCGTTTGCCTTGGGAAGGCGTTTGAAAAGCTCGTATATTGACAAAAGATGTTTCATATCCAGTTCACTGAACCAGGAAGAAGTCTAGTATGCTTCCGAATGAAAGCTGATTCTGTCAGTTGCAGATCAACCATGATAAGAAGAACGATAAAGTCACTTCGCTGCGTACTTGCTGGAATGTTTGGCGAGAACTTGAAAGAGAATCCACGAGGTAACTCGCCACCTGGTTTACCTGTTCTTATGCATTTTAGTCGAGCCTGCTGTTATAAATGTGGAGCCGCTTGATAGAGAATACCTTTTTCCGAATCCGGTGATTTGTAAATCAGTGGACCGTTTTGCTAAGGACGGCATGTCAGAATGTCTCAATTCCGAGAGCCACCGACGGTTGAAGCAAAAGCTGAAAAGTGTCCTCGGTATGTTTTTAGAGTGGTGTCCGTAATTCTTTAACGTACACATTGGTAATAGTAAACTGTTATCTTTGTGATTATTTGTAGCTATTTCCGGCTGTGGACATTTTTGTTACCATCTGCTCTACTGAGCCCTGTGTTTTCCATTTTTCGGGCTGCTATGGGGAGTGAGGTGACGCATGCAGTGACTTGTGGTGTACATTAGAATCCATGTTGCATGTTGTCCACAGTATCACCCCCGGGTCTCAAGCAATACTATTGGTTGTTGAACCTAGCCCAGCGACATGTCATTTGTTGTCTCCAAAACTGCACCCCTAATATCGTTTTAGCTCTACTCGGTTTTCTCGTTCTCGTACATCAGGTACTAGATAATACGGACCGAGTCTGCCACCCATACCCCAGTCTAATGAAGACCATTGAACTCAGAAGTTACTGCTGTAAACTTTCCTTCTACTACACCTACCTGCGGTATACGGTTTATCCTCTCAGCCCTCCTTCAGCTGTGTCGGTATTCAAGCTCCCTCCAGAACTTTACACGCAACTACTACACTATACATTAGTCTGGCTTTTTCCATGAATTTTAACCAAGCTGGTGGAACCCTAGCCTGTGAAAAATAAAAGCCTCGCTATATTAGTCATTAATACTCCAATAAATCCCGCGAATCTAGCAACAGAATGGTCCCACCGAATTGACGAAGGTGTCCGTGGCCGTGCCATACACAGTTTGTATATAGAATAAAACTTTGTTTCTTATAGGGTAACGTTCTTCCCCACTAGTTTGTCTCTACTGTGTGTCGGGATGTTCAAGATGTTAAGTCACACTTCTCTGTCATACCGCACTAAATCTAGGGAGTCTATGAACACTTTGGTTTCATTCAACTTAGTGATGAAAACGATTAGACAGAAATATACTTGAGCTTCGAACTCATCTAAATGTCACGTTAATTACATAGCATTGCAGTAGCCTCTTTTTGTTTAAATTGTAGGTCAAATTCAATTTAGAAAACACAACAAATACCGTCATCTTGCATGCATAATTTGTGTGACCTATATGAACTCATCCTCGATCTGGATTAAGCTAAGAATGAATGAGGAACATTTTGTTGGATTTTATGCCCTAGTTATACTGTAAGTCGGTACGACGGATGTCGGGTTATGCTGAGATATCTGAACAAACTCATGCGATACACACTGATATTCCCCTGAAGCTAACAAATTAAAGCAGTTTTGCCTGCAATCATAAAAATGTCCCTGATTTTCTTTTAGTTACCTGAATCCTAGCAGCATCTGGAGAAGCTCTTTCTTAATGAGAGGGCTTGCCAGCTTTTGGAATGGACCGATAGGTCTAATCACTACGAGGGTTTTCGAGAGTCATATTCCCCGAGTCAGATATGCACACCATTTAGATAGATAGATCTTGTAACACAAAATCACCACCTTGACACGATGACTTACTATTCAATAACTATCCTTTGGAAAGTTTTACAGTAATTGTATCTGTTGTGTGTTAAAATTTTCTGAAGCTTATGTATAGTGGATGTCCATGTGAGTGCTTTTCATGACTTTCTTGATTGTGACATTTGGGCGCCCTTCCGAATCACGCTACAAAGGTCACCTAACTGTTTAACGGAGTGAGTCACAAGAATGTTTAGAGGTCACTCTAAAGCCACCAACATGGTGGTTTCTAATAAAGAATTGTTGATGATAAAAACCACCCTACATATAGTGAAAACACTAGGTTACGAGGAATACACGTGTCACTTCTATGTTTATTCAGTGTAAACATCGATGCAAATAATCAGCATGTTTGCCCGTTTTGCACATTATTGATAAACCTGATTACTTAGCACGCTCAGGGGAATGCCTGTTTGGTGAACCATGATCGAGTAGTCCTATGTAAGTGACTTATTACGATAAAAAAAAGTTCCGATCGGCCTTTTGAGTTATAGGATTATATTGTGTTGTCGTACGTAGTAGGGCAGTGGCAGTAAGACTGATTCTGCTGTCGATTATGATTCCTTGTGCTGTTTCTTGATAGCCAGATCATAACTGATGTTTGAGTACCAATTTTTCAGGTCCACCTAATTCTGTGATAAATATGAAACGTCTGTTGATTTTTAAGGATCGCATCGATGCGTCGCACGCTAGGCGAAGAACGACAAAACAGCAAAATCAGGGGCTGACACGCCACCTTAGCTAGTTAATCAAAAAGTTTTTGAATGACACTTCTGGCTGCTTAAGGTTTAGTTATTTATGATGTTTGTGATAGGCTAAAATTCAACTTTATTTTCTAAACAGCTTCATGTAAGGTCCACAATGAAATATATACCGTTCTACGACCGAAATACAATAGTCTTTACTCCAATAAAAAAACAACATCCAACGAAGACATCTGGAATATATCAGAAGTACATATTGCAACCATTGCTTTGCTCCGGTTACTGAGTATCTTCCCTCCAGATACTTATTACCATCTCCGGAAAATTCAGCTACCAGGAATATATTTTGCTTAATAATATTACTTGAGAATTTCGAATCCTTGTGGATAGGGTTTTACGTTTGTTCCTGAGCCCGTAATGGATAATAAAATGAAATGCAAAAAGTAATGTGATTTTTAAAAACCTTTCCGATCGATTTTAGCAGATAGATGGTGTGGACAGTGATGTATGGTAAACCTACCCGATTACTACTACTAGCAAGACTTATACCCATTGTTGGAACTCATGACAGGATTGTCGTCTGGCTGGTCAACACAGCTATTGTATAACTAGTCGTTGCATTGGCGTGGCTTCTGAGATGAAAGCAAGGAAAACATAATGCAGAGAACATGATACATCATTCAATATGGTTTTGATTCACAGCTTACGTTTTCGGTTCGAATTTTTGGGAATTTTAAGTGACGAAACATTACGGTGCTTGCTGCCAACGAACGTATTTTTATCTCCCGAAAAAGCTTTGAAGGATACAGTATACCTTGATTAATACAATTGTGTCTGTTTTTAAGGAACGGGAGCAAACTGGAGTTACTTGTTTGCGACATTATCTGAGTTAAAAATGCTAGTGTTGTGATTCCCGATTCAGTCCATATTAGATCAATGTCTGAGTTTGTTGGATGGCTGAGTTTTACTGCAAGTGGCACAAGGCTAGCTAGACTTGCAATTCTGATCGTGCAGTCTCAACGAGCATCTCCAGTACCAGTCCATATAAAACGAGAGAAGACTTTCTTTGTCTCTGTTATGTTGCCCAAAACATGCTTGCTATGAACTCACCGTTCAGATTAATTATAAACATATCCAAGTGAAAACCTGCCGGCAGATCCGTCTTCACAATGGACGTGAAATACCCAGTAATGACATAACACAGAACACAACACTTTGCATCGAACTAGGCGATGTAATAATTTCTTTGTTGCTTTTTTGTTGCTATTTACAACCATGGGTGACGTGATGGGTGGGAAAATGTGACATGTGCTGCTGCAGCCTAAGGTTGTTGACGCTCCCTGAGCTGAGGAATCCCTTGATTACATAGACGCAACATGCACCTGATTCCCTTTGGGAAATTAAGGCTAATAAACGCGTGCTAGTTGTGCTGCCCATTTTCAGTTAGATTTGCCGAAGGACGATCTGAGTGATATTGCAATGCTTCCTTGCAGATTACACAAGTAATTTGATCACGTCACTATATTGCATCTTTTCGGTTATGCTCACGTTCACCTGAGAGTTGGGCTGAGTATGTGGCTTTAAAACAGTCGCTAAATATTTCCAATAACTATCCTTCTTGGGACTCGTTTGGGATCTGTTTGTAAGAGGTGTGCGTCGAGAGTCCGTAAAACTGTGTAGAACCTAAGCTATTAGACTTCAACATGTTTATGCATTGGACACGAAGGCGTCACAAAGCAGGCACCAAATTTATCCACAACTTGAATACAACACTTAATGTATCTTTGTCTGGTTTTCCTTGGGCGCTGATAGGGATTTTTGTTGGAAATAAGAACGTTTAGCAATTTTAGTCAACATCCGACCTGTTGGTTGTTCATTTTAACTTGTTTGTAAGACAATCATTCTGGATATCTACCAAGTGACGAAAATAAAGCAAACACAGCCATACTAAGACTGGCTTCTATTGGTTTCTGGCTGAGTTTTCGTAACACCACTAAACTTAGAATAATTACCGAATTATGGGAGATGATGCCACGTTGTCTTATCCAGTAGCAGGTGCATATGCCATTCCAGCACCGACGTTGTGGATATTGTGGGAATCTGCACATGCCATGGTAACTGTCCTTCTTTAGTATAACTGCAACAAAGAACCCACGTGTAGAATAGTTTGGGAAGCGCAAGTGTTGGACAGCTTGAAGTCGGCCCTGCTGCCGGTGTAGTCTTTTTGTTTTGCAGTGGTTTTGCTGAAGAGGTGAGTAAAAAGCCTGCAATTAATATTCATTTTCCTCCATATATTTTCTAAGGAAGGACAAATGGCTTTCCAACGCAAAGGAAAACGTAACAAAACATAAGAGTGGTCATTCATTGTGAACGGAACTTCAATGCAATAACTAGATTGAAGATCAATCTGTAGTTTGTGTACGTTGCTCAAAAATGGAGAGAGGAGTTATAAGGTATAATTTAAATGGGAACCCTTTTGGCGTCTCAGCCAAGGAGATGATGATCTTTAAAACTCAAGGGTGTGCAAAATAGCTGTGCCCATTTTCACTGATTACAGTTACCACACCATAAAATTTGTGGTAAACTTTCTTTGGCACCCGCCTAATTCTGGAAAATACATGTAATCCGCAGATAATTATATATTTATTAAAGATTCACGCACAGTTACGGTTCATGTCGCACACGTTGTGTGCATTTCATGTTCAGATTCACGAGTCAGACTACATTCAGAGCTCAGTGGCTGCTTCCTGAATGCGAAAATATGTGGTCAAAAAACGATACTGTTGCATTCCCATCCTTTGAACTATTCCGCATATGCAATTACGTTACATTAACTCATGCAAATCACATTAAATTCCCTCCTATAATTATCATGAAAATGGATCATTAATTTATGAAATGATGCCCTAAACCATTAGACACGGACTACTTTCAAATACAACTGTTCAAAGCCTTCGGAAATTACTGGGTTCCCTGGCCTCTTTTGAAAGCAATTAATGTGTCCTTTCGAAGGACTTATAATCATTTTTGTCTCTTGAGCCATACTCTCCTTTCACTGTGAAGTATTTTAGCCTCAGGCTGACTGAAGTTTACCCCGCTAAGGGTGATCCGTTTTACCGATAGTGAACTGCAGGTCGATATCTAAATGGCAAGTCTCAAGATACTCGAATGCTCAGCTGGATGACCAGAGGTCAGACAACGGGATGTCTTTTCTTCTGAACTTTTTTCCCTGTCCCTTGAACCTTAGTTAAAGCTTTCCTCTTAATGACTGGTCGTGTTTGAGTGGCAGGCATGTGTGGCGCTTACAGCGTTGACTTGCACATGAAAGGTTTGTCCTCTCCCAGAGCTACCCATATGGTCAATTGTTCTGTAGAGAGGTATTTATTTCATATGGTTCAGTTTGTCGTAAGTGCACGCATTGAGGTCGCTGTCACACAAGAAACAACACGGGTTGTTCAGTCCTAAATGCCACGTGTATCACTCTGCACGGTGGCTAATGATACATATTACTGTGCAATGATTCCTACATTCTCTGAAGAGAAAACATTTGGGCTTTTGTTGAAAGGAAACAGGATTCCGAGAGGTTACTACACTAGGCCTGTCCAGTCCATGTTGTGGAAATTATGCAAGAGCGCAAAATGAGTGTGGCATCTGATACAAAAAACTGGGTTCTCGTAATGATAAAGTTGATTATTTATGAGTATTCAATGAGAAGTTCTTGGACATTCTGCTCGTTTGTCCATTGGTTTGGATGGAGAGTTCGTCATACACTGCAATCTTGCCCGGTTGATTTTTTACTACATTGGCAACAAGGTCCTTCAGCTAAAAGAGATCACCATGACTGTGCATGTCAGCTGGTAGTTTGGTTAAAAAGGAACCCTCTGACAACACTCTGATTTGACTTGTCTTGTGTAGGCGCGCAGCAGGTATTTTGGTGGGATTTGTGTGCATGTATTCCTGGTGACTGTGTAACTTTGTAAAATTCCCAAGCGCCAAGAGATCCAATAAACATGGTGATAGCCTGTACTAAGACAGCTGGCTTCCAGTATGTCTTGGTTCTTTTACTATTTTTATATGAATTTCGAAAGGAATGTTAATTTGAGTGCTTTGTTAAGTTTTATGAAGATACTGGGTTTTGACCTTTCGGATAGGAGATTTGAATACATTTTTACTGATGTTCAAACACACATCTTCCCATTTTGTATCCTTGAATTAAATGTCTAGTAAAGCCTGCGTAGAATTTTGATTGGATTAGAGGTGTTCACTTGTAAGTAGTAGAGGGAGTTTAATCAAAATTCACCACACTTCCGTTGAAATATTGGTAGCTCGGGTGAGTTTACTGGTTGTTGATATCAACTGCGCACTGATAATGTCTCCTCGTATGGTGACGAAACGTTTGCAAGCCAATTGCCAAGCTCGGCGAACAGATCAACAGCCACCTGATCAGCAACCAGTAAACTCACCCGAGCTACCAATATTTCAACGGAAGTGTGGTGAATTTTGATTAAACTCCCTCTACTACTTACAAGTGAACACCTCTAATCCAATCAAAATTCTACGCAGGCTTTACTAGACATTTAATTCAAGGATACAAAATGGGAAGATGTGTGTTTGAACATCAGTAAAAATGTATTCAAATCTCCTATCCGAAAGGTCAAAACCCAGTATCTTCATAAAACTTAACAAAGCACTCAAATTAACATTCCTTTCGAAATTCATATAAAAATAGTAAAAGAACCAAGACATACTGGAAGCCAGCTGTCTTAGTACAGGCTATCACCATGTTTATTGGATCTCTTGGCGCTTGGGAATTTTACAAAGTTACACAGTCACCAGGAATACATGCACACAAATCCCACCAAAATACCTGCTGCGCGCCTACACAAGACAAGTCAAATCAGAGTGTTGTCAGAGGGTTCCTTTTTAACCAAACTACCAGCTGACATGCACAGTCATGGTGATGCTATTGAAATCTGAGCTGTGGTACTGTTAACCGTGCACAGCGCTCTGTTCTAAATGATTATTAAATGTTGGGTTGTATAATCTAGGGTTTTGTAAGAAAGCCTTCGGCAACTTAAAGTCTCCGCTAACACTGTAGAAGGCTGAAAGTTACGGGTGAAGATGAAACGGGTGACGTAAATACCGCTTTTCTATCACTCCATGGGTTACTTAGAGAACAGCGGAGCTTTTACGGTCAGCTCTGTTAATAGAAGAATCAAACATAAGAAAAGATGCCTTTCAAAAGGACGTGCCAAAAGTGAAGCCTACTCTGTTCAGCCAACACTGAAAAATGAAATGCAGTGCATTTCAACTAGTGGATGAATTTGAGTTTGATGAACCCATAGGTAGCAATGTTTTTGTGTGGTTTGTGGAATGAATCTATTCCTGCAATGCATTTTCATCACTGCCTCTTGAAGCAGAGCTTATGCGTAGCACGCTATTGTCACGAATGCAAGATTTCCCGTGCCGTGCAGTTTGTACTGGCATCTGTTGGTTCTTGCTCGCCAAATGCGTTCAGTTTATTGTACGTAGTAATAGTGCTGCGGTTTTTGCCCTAACTAAAGACTTTAATGACCGTTTTTTTTTTGAGAATTTACACCCAAGACAATGAAACTGGCGGTGCTGAACAGTGTTTCACTGCGTGGCAAATCCAAAAATCTTTCGAAGGGGGATTTCGATGGAAGAACGTACGGCAAAGAACGAAAAGAGCCAGCCAGTTTGAGCTAACAAAACAAGACAGAAATTAATAATACATTAGCATGTTATTAAGCGTAGCTCAGGCGGCATAGTTGATGGTTGGCTCGTTCACCAAGCTAGGCAATTTAGCCTTATACGTGCTTTATTACTGGGTATATTCCTCAGTTAAATTTGCTGGTGTACCATCAAACGTCCGTCCTACACAGGCTGTGGTGGTCAGAGATCGGTTGTTGATAAAGTGAAGACTACTTGGCTAATTTCGCCAACCTGATATAAGTGGTTACCGCGGAACACAAGTGTGCCGTTTCGTCATAACTCGTAGTACACAAACCTTGCAGGCTTGAATTCAGTAGCCAGTAGGTAGTGAACATATTTTCTGATACCCCAGATAGTCCTGGGTGCCAAATATATACTCTTGAAGACTGGGTGTGGGTAAATTTTTCGGTACTTATGTGGCGAAAAGTAATGTGCTTTGAAATCTTTTTCTCCAACTTAATCCCCTGTATGAGCTATTTGGAACTGAACACATAATTACCCGGTCATATCTTACTTTGTAGCTTAATGCGGTGATGGAAACAAGTTGTCTGTTGAAAGGTTCTCGGAAGTTAGCAACCGGCGTCCTTTTCTAATCTGATTACACGCTAACATTCACTACTTGGTCTGTGGAGTTTACGAGAAAAATTCGACCAATGGTAGATTATTCGCATTCACACTACAGTGCACCCTCATTTTCCGCTAATGTTACAGGATGGGCACTTCAAAGATATTTTAACATCTAGTGAACTTTAACGGTTCAGGCTACTGCCGAGTCCTGGATCAACCTATATAGACAGTATAATCACACATTATGTTTCCCTTTCTGTTGACAGTGAGAATGTTATGGTCCATCTTTTGAATTGACCAGGCTGGCAGCCAGATATTTTTTAATTTTTCAAAAAAGTCCAATTACTCATAGTGTGAACAAGAAGGCAGACATCTAGGGGATGAAAACGGCTCAACGACCTTCAGCTTACCAGATGGGCGTTGTACCAGATCAGCCATCCATGGCACTGCTCCACTTCACACATGCGCCTGTATTTCATATAGGGCCTAACGGATTCCAAGCCGAAAAGTGCAACTGCCAGTTTTTTTTTGCCTGAATTTCACAGTGAGTCAGCTGTTGACATCGCCCAAGTACCCGAGAAAATTCTGTTTTAATTGGTATAACGTACACGGGGGATGAAGAAGTCTCTAGTTGAATGTGTGTTTAGATCGTACGCTCACCAAACTACTTTGTATACGTTTCTGTTTGTATATTCAGGCGCTCCGTTGTTATTTATCCATACTTGGCCTAATCAGTTTTCTGTTTTCTTATTCGACACACCGGAATGCGTTTATTCCATCTTAAATTTCCATTTTTTCAGTGATTCGTTAAAAGTTACATTCTCTTTCAGGAGTGAAAAAGCTTTATGACGATTTTCGCCCCACCCCATGGGACTGTCCTGTTTACTTCGTGCGTGATGACTATATGTCTCGAAAGGTGAGTGAGAATGTTATTTCCATTAGTTACGTGGTCAGAAGGTCTGTGTTTCGAACCCACCCTCTGCGTCTGGACTGCTGCTGTCTAGGCTTGGGCAACCTGGCATTATCTCAACCCTCGTTCTTCCTTCGGGTGGCGTGAAAGCTAGACACAGAAAGGGTGTTACAACTTGTTATATCTGCTGATGGTATCTGCTGATGACCTGCTCCAGTGCCTGGTGCCGGAAAAAAGACTCGCAGAAGGGAACACAACAACTATATTCCAAACAAGCTAGTGCGAGAGCAAAAGTTACAACGACCCCACACTATTTGAAGTGGACTTTCTGACATTGATCCAGGCTGTCTGATAGGCGTTAATGAACACCCATCAGCATCAATCGTGCCTCTATAGAATGCCTGAACGCTGATCACATTCGGTCGTGCTTCTATGGCGTACATGAACACTCATCGGCTTTTGCTGGATTGATTGAATGATTGATTGGCCTGGATGCTTGCCGGCTTTCCTATTGAGATTTTGGTGGGATTTTAGGGTCTCAGTAGGTTCTGGGCCTTCTGAGGTTATTTTCAGGAATCTGGCCTTCCTGATACGACTGAACGATTTTTTGTCGACGTTCTGCCTGAATGTTTACTGACATAGAGTGGTAGCCTCCGAAAACTGGTGGTCCAAAAACGTGACTCTCGATATTAAGATCAAAAAGTATCTAATGTTGAGACTGACTGCTCTTATAAGCCACCTTTTTCTACATTCTGGCTTACTGTCTGCTCATCTGGGTATCCTGCAATGGCAGCGTATTGGTCCTCCGAAATGCTTCTCCCCATAGTGGTTCATAGCTACAAATGGGGCTGTTGTAGTCAAAAGTACAGTCCTCAGCAAAGTGTTGTAACGTACTTTCGGTTTACTCAAACTGTCGATAACAGTGTTCATGACTCAGCCAATGCAGTTTCAAACCATTTTTCGTAGTGTGAACGAATTCGGGAATTTCGCTAGAGATTTCGTCCTCCAGGTTAAAACGATCTATGCCGAAAACCCGAGTAGTACCGTACAGCTGCTTTTATCCTTATTGAGAATCATCTGCGTTGCGCATCTCACGAAACTTTTAGGAATCTGGAACCCAAAACTTCCCGGCTGATTGCTTGAACATTTAACCATTCGGTCACAGGCCGCTCATGGCCGACGCACTAAAGAGAATTCTGAGCTTAGGGAGGTGACTGATGTTCATGTGTCTGCGTGAATCATACAGGCGGTGACTGAGCTTTTGCTCGCAGTGAAGGACTAGGAAATCCAGCATCCTCAACAAACTTCGTATCGGAAGCCATTCATTATCAAATAGAAATCCTGCATATTCGGTGAGTCGCCTTTGCATCCAGAAATTGGTTACTACTAGCGTGATAGCGGTAAAGCTTAACATTTTCACTGCAAATGAGATTATTTATCTAATGGTCAAATATATCTGACGGCTTGCTACGGTCTTACCTTACCTAGTTCGGGTAACTTCTTACCATTGGACGCGGTGTGCACATTTCGAATGATAAAAGGTTAAATTTACGGTACTCCTAAGACTGAACGGCTTGAAAGTTTGCCTTTCTAAGTTTAGCTGTTGGAATGAACTGTGTACCAAAGGTGTAGTATTTGTGAGGCGGTTGTGTGATTTCTGATTACGTCGACCGGCTATTTGGTTTTTGTTATTTCACCACATCAGTCTCCACGTCAGCTATGGGTAGTTGGAGTATTTTATTGGGTCATTTTTGAAGACTTTGCATGATTGCTCGTTTTTGCTTATTATTGAAAGGGAATTTTCTGCCGAGTAATTGTGTTAGTGCCGGCTGTTTGGTGTCAAAATTCCGAGGTACGTTAACTGTCGTGGGCATCTTGGAGGAATGTGGTGCGGGGGCTTTGTTACCAAAGCGTGTAACTTTAGCACACTTGTTTGCCTCATCAAGGACGACTGCGAATTAACTAAGGGGCTGTTGACCAGTTAATATCAGCTGAAGTCAGAAGGTTCTGTTGTTGCTTGACCACTGGAGTCTCGGATTTTTTAAGTGGCATGACGTCTGCGAAAGATAAGGACTAACAAGGAAACTGAATAAATGTGCATGGGTAACTTCATAGACTACTGAAATTCTTAACTCATGTCAGTTAAATGAAGCTGAGTGAACGATATTCCACATATTTACATTTTTCTAGATAGCGCACTGAACAAGTGAGCTCGGCTCATGCACTGACAAAAACCAGTGTTGAACATAGTACCCTGTAATCGTGTGATGGACGTGTCCCACTAAGGGATGAAATTATTTCGAATATCATGCAATATAGCGATTTATCCGTTCTATCTGCAAAACGAATTTCAACTATCCTGACAGTCGGTAAAAAGATGTCAGTATTTTAAAAAGTCTCTCTCAGCAAGCTTCCGTTGGCTGCAAAAGGTTTGTAGTATTCTTACGGAGTCGAACGTATAAGTTAAATCACCGTACTACGACTGGTGACTGGCGATTCTGTGCTCCAGTAGAACTTAGCTGATAAGATCCCTGTAATGAGAGTGGAAGTGTAGTGTTCTCATAGTTGTTGGCTAAATTGAGTGATATTCTTACCAAAGACTTAGGAACGGTAGTTGAATGAGCACCTGACAGCCAGGTAGGCAATACTGTCAATGTGCCACGAACTCTTGATCTGATTGACCATCGGCGATAAGTCGTATGTGAACTTTGACTGGCAACGTCGCTGTGCCAAGCTATAAGCTCATAACACCCTGGCTTGGTCGAAATAATTAAGTATAGAACATCTATCCACTTGCACTGCACTGTTGAGCCTCACACCATCAGCGGTACTGCAACAAGTGAAAAACACCGGTAATTTATATGTAGATTGGCACACAACGTGGACTCAATGGTTGTCCATGGGATTTTCCCAAAACCTATCTCCCCGTTAAAAGTGGTGAAGCTGCCTTGAGATACTGAACACAGACGCAATCACGTTTGTGGAAACGAGGCAATGAGTGATACAGTCTGTCCAAAAGATACTACGATTACTCGCCTTGATAGCCCTAATCCATTACTGCTTGAATCTTAGGGAAGTGTGAATAACTGTAGATATAGCAGACACAATAAAACTAATATAAAATTTCATATCAATGTGTATATGCCAAATTTATCCGGTTTAATCTGAGTAAAGCTGATGAACCGACAGCGTGGTCGTACAGACGGAGCGCTGTGTCTGCTTTTGCTGAGTCAGTCCAAAATCAACGGCGCCAACACAATCATGTCCGCCGCATGCAACCTACTGACTCATGTGCGATTTCCAAAAGGTGCACAGAGGTAGACATCTTCTACATGACTGGCACTTGGTTTTCTTCGCTCATATAAACAAATGAACAATGAAACTGTCGACCGCTGCCCGGACAACGGAGCGTTTAAAAGTTTTGCGGTTACTTAGAAACTGGGATACACTGAGCTCAAACTCAAGGATTGAAAAAGGATAGGCAGAATAACAAGGTTTATCGCTTGAGTAGGACTTTTAATGAATACAACCACTTTACGATGAGTACACGGTTACACCAGCTGATAATGATGATGACCACTAAATACAGATGGTTTTGGTAATGTTTTACTGCGAAGAGACAGTGTTTCACGCGATGCTTAGTTTTAGGTATTTTGTCTCGAATCCCCTCCAGCAACACACACCAAGTACGAAGAGGTGTGTCACTCATATAGTTTCCTGGGTACGATACCACGTTTAAAGTGGAGGAAAACTCTTAAGAGCTGTCCCGTGTAAAATGAAGAAAAACAGATACACCAGTGCTCCATACGGATGAGTCGTTTCGATTAGTATGAGTACGATTACCCGCATGTTTCCCTTTTTATGTTGTTATAACTATCCTCGTTCGTATCTCTGTTTTTCGCCAGTATTTATGGAGTTGGTCAGTGGTAGCAGACATCGTTACATTTCCCACGTCATGCTGACCCACTTGCTTTGGCGCGGCAGCCCATTCTCAAGCAGACACTGCTTGGGCAACCATAGCATTGATTGTCTGATCGATGCTCTCATTATCGGACCTCGACTGACGCTGTCGCACACAATGTCCCTTAATGAGGTCAGATGCACTGTCGGCCGCCCAACTCAGTCCGACCTGTGGGCTTTGATTGGAACCGACGACTCTGCATCCCGCTTTCCCACTTTCTTCCTGTCTGATATAACGTGGTATAGGTCACGTATGCAATGTGGATCATTCCAAAAAAACGTACTATTTTCCGTAGAACGATTATAAGCCGCAGTGAAAAATAAATCCGTGTGCATTTTCTTCAATGAGATCACACAAGACGATATTTATATGCAGCTTATTGACCATTTTTTCCTCACTGGGCTTCAGTAGAGGTGCACATACTGGTCTACATACGAAAATGAATTTTGTCGTTGATTTCTGCACAGTTTTCCTCATGTAACAAACAACAAACCGGTCGCTCAAGGGTCGGTGGTGCACTTGAGGTGGGACTGGCGATCCGGCTTTTTATGAGTAATTTAGATTAGACGATCATCAGTTAGTCTACTTTTGGGCAGGTTGTTAAATTATTCCGAGTTTCGGCAAGACACTATGAATTTATGGATCGAATGACCTTGAGCTGTTTCACTAATTTTCGGTTGCTTTTTTTGCTAAAGACCGCTTTGTTCATATGTCGCACTAAAATTAGCACAATCAGCGATATAATTCGATGATTTTTTGTCTTTCATTCATGCGGCCTAAGTTTTCTTTCTCGTTAGGCCGTATTATCTTGACATGACACTCAAAGATGATGGCTGAGCCTTAATTTTCATCACCAAGTTGTCTGAATAATTCTGCCTCACTGTTTGTCATACGCTTTGCACATGCAAACAGCAGAGTATTGAATCAAAACGTGGTGGGCTCAAACCCTAACCTCATGCTTGCAGATGAGCCGATGGGGGTAGTAGATAAATGTGTCTACCTGGGTAGATATATCAGTCCCGGCAGTCCTGCCAAAGATGGTATT